CCCCCTCCCTTCCTAAGGTCTTACCTTTGTTGTTTTTCTCTCCTCCCCTATGTATATATGTTGTCCTCTTAGGTCTAACCAGTTTTTCTTGTTGATTTTTTTTGTTCCATGTGATCTTCCCGGCGTTTTCCCTCACGCGAGGCTGTTTCCTTCGGCGGAGTGGTCCTGCAGCTTTATCCCGCCAAGATGGTGTGTATCTCCACTCGATCCCTCCTCCCGGCGTCACCCTCCATCGGTGTTGTCATCTCAACTCCATCCAACAGGTCATCGGCGCTCCTAGGTCCCTCCAGTGGCACGGACGAGCCGCCCTCTCCCTCCAGATTGCCGCACCGCCCTCTCCCTCCAGATTACCGCACCGCCCTCTTATGGCTCGTCTTTCCTCTGTCGTGCCTCCCAGCTACTCCACATCAAAGCGCCGTCGCTCCAAACCCCCTCTAGAGCTACCTCCCGTCGTGCTAACCTACTCCAGCGCCCTCCTCCGTCAGCCCCCAGGTCTATTATCTCCCAAAACTTCGGCTAGCAGTTGCCTGTTCCCTTAGCCCCACCTTCAGCGAATTTCCAGCAGCCTTCCTGGACGATCGCACTAGTTTCTCCACGCTATAGGACTGTATTTTTACTTCACGCTCATTCTAAGTCTGCAGATCCTATTTCTTTATTATTTATGATTTGTTTTGTTTTACTGTTTATGTGTTTGTGTATTCTTGTTTTGTTGTTTATGTGGCATTGTTGGAGAGGATTAGTCAATATACTCGTTTTAAAATTCAACAATAAAATGTTGCATTTGAATCTTGGATTGGGTTAACTCTGGAATAAGTTATTTTATGTTAATTGTTTTCAATTTTGAATTGTAATTTAGAAATTTGTGTATATTGAGAAAATTAATGTTTCTGTTAAGTTTTTTGCAAAAGAAAAGGATCGAGAAGATAGATATAAAATAATTTGTCCCAACAAAGATCCTACCATTTGGATGAGACATTAAATCTCTAATACAGTAAAAAAATAAATCCTAAGTCTAATATTTATAGAATTTTTCCATATTTAGAATATCATTAATATCTAATATTGTTAGTAAAGTTAAAAAATTATTTATACAATAATTTGTTTTAAGAAATTGAATGATGATTCTATTACTTAAGTCTTAAGATTATTTCATAAGATAATGCATAATAAAATATCTAGATATAAACTTTTGAGGCTTTTACATACAAAGCACCCAAAACATCCATATTTACCTATCGCACACCAAAGCTTTCATAATTACAAACATCATATAAAAAGTAACACTCACTATCACATTTTAATAGTCAAATTCATCTTTTCATCAATAGATAAAGTGTTGTGCGTGAAAAATGAAACTTAGGGTGTGAGATAGGTAAATCCATAAGAATTGGGTGCTATGCATGTAATTTTCCCTAAACTTTTACAGGGTATATTTTAGATTAACATATGTTTATAGAGGTTAATGATAATAAGTACATTGCAATGTTAAGTATTAAGAAAATTCTGCCATGTTGAAAAGAAGAGAAGACTAAAAAGTTATATTATGTGAGATATGGAGGCAAATGACAATGACTTGCACGGGAATACAGGAAAGATCTGACGAGATAATTATCCTTATGGGCCAAAAGAGGTTTTCCAACATATACAAAATGAGATTAATGTCTATACTAAGAGAAAAAATAAAAACTAAAAAGGGAGGCAAACAACAAATCAACAATACACCCAAGAATCCATACTTAATGTAGGAACCAATAAAATAAAAAACAAGTAAAAAAAAATCCATACATGATCAAGTAATCTCCACTACCCTATTATCTTAAAGAAAGAAGTAAGGTCGTGCACAAAATACTTAATTTATGATTTCATGACTGGGATTTCACCAAAATTTAGGTGCTTCAGCCGCTTCTCTTGATAAAATGCAAATTCCAAAGAATGTTTATGAGGCAAAACTCTTGAGCAGAAGAAAATTGTAATGAAATAAATTCAAACTTTGAGAAAAATGTTATGTCGAAAGTTTATGAACTTCCACCAAGATAAAATTGATCGGATGCAAATCGAGTATAGTATCAAAAATAAAACAATATGAGCACGAATAACTTTAAAACCTAACTAATTGGTCCAACCAGTCATATGGTATTGACTATAAGAAAATTCTCTCCCATTATTTAAAGTCAACACAATTCTAGTTTCACCCTTTCAAGTTGCAATTTTAGACTGGTCTCTAGATCAAATTTACAATACAAATGTTTTTCAAAATGAGGATGAGAAGGTAGACATTATGGACAAAGTAAACATGAAAATTTCATATGATTTGAATAATTAGAGAGACGTCAACAAAGTATACAGAAAGTATGTAGAGTCAAAAGCTATATATGACCTCAAATAATCCACTTATGTCTAGTCTGATATATTCTTTAAACTTTTTAAAAAGCCTAAGAGTACTCAGTATCAAACTGGTTAGATTCTTTT